CTTGATTGTTTCAAAAAGCTACTTTTCAATTAAAATACAAAATAAAACTGAATATTAAGTGGGGTATAGAAGAAAGACCAGTGTGTGTGTATACGTAGATATACAAACATATATGCACCTTGCGCTTTTACCCTATTCAGTATTTTCCTCTCAGAAAGCAGAAAGTGGATTTTATTTTGAACAAGAAGTGAAAATATTTTTAGTGATGCAAAGCTATGACAAAATTAATACAGTGCATGGTATGTTTCTCAAGCCAGGTTAAGCATCTAAAGTAACAATCACTTTCTTAAAAATTTTTATTTTCCTAGAATATAGTATGCAAGAAATGAATTATTTCAGCAACCACTTATCTGGCACAAGATTCTTTCTCCTTTCAATGGAGAAAAACCATATAGGCTTACTAATTGCCACAAGGACTAGAAATTAACTTAAATATTCAGAAAAATGCCAATATTCTGAAATGATACAAATATCTCAATTCGTTGAGCCCTCAAGAAAGGAGAAAGAAACTTCAGCCAGATAGCTGCAAACTCTTTGTACCATTAAGTTACATATAACCCAGAAAACTGGAATTGAAATGTGTTCCATCATGTTTCACAGATTATGTTGCTGGAAACAATAAAGAAGGTATGTGCCATCGTAGTTCATATTCACCCTATAGCAGCTATGGGAAATACTTCTCATTAATGGCAAACTCTGCTACAGTTCTCGAGTAATGTCATTGCACAGAAATCCTTATCAAGTTTATTTTCTTTGCACATCTACTGATGTAAAAGAGTTTGACTGCATTTTCCTCTCTATTTTGGTAAAGTTCTCTTAGCTGTTACATGATTAAGTACACTCCACTGTACTACGATCAAAAGCATCTGGAAAGGTGGAAGTGAAGAAATGCTCTCTGGGAAAGTTAGCTTAATGCTTGCACTTCAGAGTTGCCCATTATCAACATTTCATAGCGAGTTTCTTTATTTTCAGGTCCCCAAGGTAAGAACAGTAAATTATGACTTGAACTAAACAAGTCACACTTGGCTCCAAAATCAGATTTTCCTACCTCCAGCTTCAGGTCCCAGAGGTGGGCAGAGGAAATCCTGGTCACAGCCAAAGAAGTCATTTTTGGCTCTGAAATAAATTTTCCTGCTTTACTAGAGCCAAACCCTACCATTGAGAGTACCATAGCTTTAAGCAATACTTTAACATTTCTTTTATATATTTTGCTTTAGCAACCTGATTCTTCAGCAATATGAAACCATTTTCAATAACTCAGAACTAGGGTTTTGGGTTTTCTTTCCTAAATCAGTATTGTTTATTATCAAGTACCTTTCCGAGCCTTAATCATTCTTCTCCCTGACACTGACAAAGTGCTTTAGACTCTTCTCTTTGTGAAAATCAGTGAGTGTAAGGTACTATGTGCCTAAAATTTTTAAGTGAGGCAACTGGAAAATAAACTAAATTACATTCTTTAAAGGTTCTACAGAAAATAATGTAACTTATAAAGCATACAGTTGTTTAAGGAGACCAAATGCTTGCCATTTAATACCAGAAGTTGTGGCATACATTTAGCACAAACATATGGAGAAAGTAAAACTGGCTATTACACATCACACTTGACAATCAGTTTCTTGCCCAAGTAGACTGATGTTTGGATCCAAAACGCTACAATTCAAAATATACAACAGAAGTTAATGAATAGTATGTTAGCATCAGATAACATGTATATGGGATTACACATCTTTTTTTCTGTCACATTATTTATGTCCTCTGATATTACAGTTCACTGGTATTAGCATCAAGTTACAAATCATAAAATATATTTAGAAAGCAGGTTGATCACAGACAAGTAATATTAGTGGAGATGAGCCAACATCAAACTGCCAACATAAAATATTGGTCTCCAAAGGTACGATTCCACAAACCCTTGTGATTGTGCACAGTCCTAGAGGTATTAAAGGGATTACTCGCACAAGTAAAAGCTATGTGCAGGAGTAAGGGGTTATAGAACTGAGTCTTAAGAGGACTTTTATTAACCCAAAAACCAGACAGGCAAGTGTATTTGCATGTAGAAGCAGAGTACTTTTTAGTGATTTAAACCAATTCTAGAAGTATATCATTCATGGATAGTCCAAGGAAATTGTTAATCCCTATTTTTAAAAGGATGTCTTTATTAATAACCTCATCAGTTTCTTCATTTGGTATATCTGTGAAGCACCTACTGCTATGTGAAAGTAACAGATGTACTTGTGCTCCTAGTTTTATGTCTTTATGTGCCTAACCTGACTTGTGGCACTGGGTTTTCAATTTTCTTCTATCTGCTCAAAACTCAAGCTCCTCCAAAATCCTCAAAGCTGGAAGTTTAAAAATTTCCAGGTTCTAATCAGTTTTCTGGTTAGTCTACAAAATCTGAAGAAAAACCAATGGACTATATCATAAAAGCAAGTGTCCTACCTACCCTATAAACTGTTTCACTTGGGAACTTAACATATACTAAAATCCCACAAAAACAGATAAACTGTACAGTGCCCTCTAATGTTTAAAAATATGGATTCTTTTAACCCCAGGAGAAAAAAAGAATTCCAACAGAAAAACTCTTAATAAGGAGAAACATTTAAAATAAAATTAGCTGCCCTGAAAAGAAAGTCACTCGGATTTACCAGGGGGAGAGAATTCCTATCTTAGTGTGATGAGCACTGCTGATATGCTTTGAAAACAATCCTGAATAGGAAAAGGTATATGAATAGAATACTTTAATCACACTCTTCCTGAAATTTGTATCATAAATTATTTCTACTGTTTAATATAAGGAGTATCTGAACATCAGCTTTCACTTCAAAACCCAACTCTATTCCCACCTCAGTTTCAAAGGATTTAGATCTGATCATAAAAGTATGGTTAGAAGACGAAGTTGCATCACAGGCAGGATGACACAGGTATCACTTAACCCCCTGGCATTTGGGCTTGTGACCTCTGGATTCTAACTGCTAATGAAACAGTAATACAGCCAGCCAAACTCCAATTGGTTAGAACAGGTTAAGTCTTAATGACAGACAATCAACTGTCTATAATTAATAAAGAATCTCTTTCCATTGCAGGTAATACTATCTGCTACATGAGAGCATGGTTTATAGCATCCCTTCCAAACGCTACAAGTTTCACACACCTTTTTTCTCTTATTGACAAATTAATACTCCTTCAGTTCTATGAAGTTTCATTCACTGAAGATAACTCCAAAGCATTTAGAAGAATGATAATGAAGTATATAGGAATAAAACTTTTTTTTTCCTTTCTAATGTTCAGGTAAGGTCATTGGTCTAGGGGGACTGAAGTAACAAACAATAATTTGTATTTGTTAATACACATAGACTACTAAAAATAGACTATCACATTGGTTTTATATAAAAGTTAACTTTGAACCCAAGTTCTTGAGCAAAAGACAGGCTTACAAAAAAACCCAACCCCATTTCCCCTAGCATAATTCTAGGAGCACTGCCATGCAGCAGGCAGCTCCTCAAATCTGATGCTAAGAGACTGGTGCGTGCCCTTCTCTCATCTAGAATTGATCACTGCAGTGCTTTGTGCATTACCATATCTAAATATACACACTCAAACCTTCAGCTGCTTGCAATTTGGCAGCTAGTGTTTCTATCCCTACTTAAAAATTTAGAGGTTTTCTTCAGTATAATTAAAAAAAATTCAACACAACACTTTTTTTGGAATTTAGTTACCAGTAATGGGATGTACTGCCTGTGATTCTACTATATGACATATTTGGTTGAAATGAAGATAAAATCAAATACACTGTTTTTATCTTAAGGAGCATAATCCACTGTGAACATAATTCACCCTTGACACATGCTTTTCAATTTAATTTTGTACCATTTAGAACACAAAAATACTGACTTTCTGGAAATCATTTGGAGTAAACTGTAAGAGTTCCAGCCATACTACAGACCAAGTATTTCCAAAATATAATTTCAACATATGCTTCTAAAACAAAGCATTTCTAACTCTAGAAAGAGTGCTAAGTATTCTTTGAATGTAAATGTTTTTATACTAAAGTACAGGGTATTATATTTTACTAAGACAAAAAAAAAATCTTATGGCTGAATAAGTGCTTCAAGAAAGTTACGCAAGCATTGAAAGAACATTGCACTACGCAGCCGCCACTAATATAACCCTACTGGTTCTTATAGGATGTGGGTTTTTTCCACCAAGGCTGTAATTAGGCACACACTGTAGACAACAAAGAAGTCTTTGGTTGTACACTTAAGCTCGGAACACATCTCTAAAACCAAAGCTGAGTCTGTCTGGGCATTCAAGTGCAAACCTATGATTTTCTTGTTTGATTTGGCATCACTAATAACCAGAATCCAGCTGTTCCTGGTATTTATTTATTCAGTGATACCTTACTTTGTTTCTCAGCTTCACAAAGTAGTCTCAAAAAGTTCTAAAAGGTATACATAAGATAAAGCAGTGACGGTGGTTATTATCACTGGGAAGAAACAGAGCTAGCAACTGGGTAACTACCTAAGTGGCATGCACAGACCACCAAAAAATAAGTGCTCTTACATACTAGTCAATAATAAATGTTCTTTTTCAGTAAGTAGAAATTAAGTCTAGAAAAACATTTTTCCATTTTTCAAAACCCAATGCCCCACCGCAGTAAATCAGGAAGTAATACAAATGACGTAAGTTCTGGTATACAGAAACAGGCAAGTGAAGATGGAAAGATGCACTGTTGCTTGGCAGAGTATGAAGTTAATGAGCATTTTAACAATGCAACAGCCTTCACTAGCAACGTCAGACAAAACTTTACAATACATCTAGCATGATATAAATTTATTTACATGACACAAGTCCACAAGACTTGCTATGCTGTTCTTCCTCTTACCTGTGCAGAAGGTAACTCAAAGAATTCAAAGGGGATTGAGGGGAGTCCAAGGATAAACATTCAGAAAAAATATTTTGTGCATATTTGGTGTTTTAAACATGACATAAAAATAAAGTACAACTTTTTCAGTTGATATCCTACCTGAAGGTCTTTCACATTTGGAAATGGAATACCTATGGTTACAACTGCACGGGCATTCTCATCACAGAAATCCAAGCCTTCACTAACTTTTCCTCTGCATACAGCTATAAGGAGTGCTCCATCTTGAACAAGCCAGAGAGGAACATATAAATCATTGCCAGTGATAAACTGAGTATCAGAAGAAAGTTTCACCAATATCTTTTAAAGATCTACACATAACATAGCATAATACACTATGTATCTGGAAAAGGTGAGTGGATATAAAAATATAGACTTCTTTGTTAGACGGATGAGATTAATTCCACTGCAGTCAATAATATTGTGATTTTCAATATTAACAAACAAAATAATTTTGCATGATATAATGAAGTGGTACTTAATGATGAAGGAACCATATTTATCTACAACAAAATTTTAAATTTTAAACCATAGACTTTGCACTCCAAAAATCATGCTGTTTATTTTTGGTTATACTATCATTCTTTATTAACTATATTAATATTTAAGTATTTTGAAAAGAAATCCTATAGTGGCTGTAATATAAGATGGCAAATCACAGCTACGCAATGTAATATAAGTTTGCTTCTTTGAGAAGCCACTCTGTGCCGTGCTGGACACACAACTGCACATCCTTACAGAACTCACTGCCTTCTGAATATCACTATTAGAATTATTCATCATCCTGTACTTTCCTATATCCTCATGCAACAATATAAATAGCAGTTAATCTTCCTCATTTATCACAATAACTTATTAAGCTGAGGTTAATTTAACCGTTTATCCGTAACTTATTCTAATTGTTAAGCACTTTAAAAATACTTTTTTTTTTTAAAAACTTGAAGAGTCTGTATCAACTATTCCGTATGTCTGAACAATGTACCTTTTTCTCCTTTACATCTTATTGCATCATAGTATATTTTCAGCAGTTCATCAAAGTCACTCTTTGCCCCTCCTTGAGGCTCTGCAATGACTGTCTTAACCAGCTCCAGGTTTCTCCATAAGCCAGTGTGCATCCAGCGATCTTTTAATTTGTCCAACAGCTGAAAACAAACAGAAAAATCCAGAAGAGCTGGAATGAAAGATCAATCACTTGAACTGTTCAAATAAAGCACACAGAGACACTTATTTTAGTGAAATTATGTTTGTCAGTTTTTGTACTTATGAGCACAAGTTTCCCTACTGTACCCTGTTCCACAGCTATGCAACACTTCATAAACATGATGGTCACTAATCTTGCCAATTAGAAACAGTGTACAAGAACTCTTGCATATTTCACGTTCTCAGCGTTAAAGATCTGAACTTAGTCTCTCACATTAAGTATTTGGATTGGTTCCTTTTGAGGTACATGTGGTTCAGAGGGGACAAATTCTACGTTATTCTTGAATTTTCACTAGTTCTGTTCAAACCTCTATTCAGGGAATTACACTTGCTTGCTACTGACATGACACCATTCTCAAGCAAGCACAGAAAGATGAAGTGATGAATAGTAGGAACAGTTTCCCACACATACAGCTGCTACTATAGAATAAACCGTCTCTTCTAACTGTGTCTGTCCTACTGTTTGTCCCCTCCTCTACCAGCTCTGTCATTTCCTGGCAGCATCCTGTCTGTAATCTCTTTTTATTTAAACAAATGTAACATTATGACCTAGCAATGACTGTCCATCTTGCCATCCACAGCTTGCTACTATGTCTTCAGTTCTTGGATATGATATGGAGATAACTCTGGTGAAGAAAAGAATAAAAAAAACCATGCCTCTAAGTACATCCATTTGGGATCTGTGAGAGCTGCCAGGGACTGTAATATTAGCTTTCCAAATTTCAATTCTTCCTTCTGTGAAACTAATGTTAGCCTTGGCACGCAGCAATCTATGCTAAATGCACTTCTAGCAGTGCCTGCTGGATACGATGCACGGCAAAAAGAGGCGAGTAAGATAATACAGACCGGATACAGTCGGGTATAACTGAACTTGACATTTACATACATAAAACTATCCACGCTTTGACTTCTAAGGGCCACTTGCCCCTGATGTCTCCTCCTCCTATCACCCCAGCTCCTGAGATCAACTGGTGTTTTTCACAAACACACCTTTACAACCTGTTCTTAGCAGAAAAAATGTTTCTTAATTTAAGAGAACCAAAGTCTGTTGACAGTCTTGGGAAGGCTTAGATTCCTTACAAAAATTAGTTAATCCCTCAATTCCACTGTATTTCTCTCATATTTGAAAGAAGTATAACTTGTATTCATAGTTGGAAAGATGGCAGTAGAAAACCTTCCTCCAAATTCTTAAGAAAACATCTTTCCTCCTTTGGGGATTACTCAGTCCCTCCAGGTAAGTATCTGTTAGGCCAAATAGGTTCAGGTTTCTTGTTTAATTGACAGCAACCACCACCACCACCACCACAACAACAACAAAATCTAGAGTTTTTGATGGAAATGTGTGAATTATTCATGAAAATCTTTGTCAAGAATGGAACAATTCATTTAATTCACACAAAAGCTATTACTTCTTCCATTTAATGGAGTTTGCCAGATATAGAAACTTTCCTGCACATGGGAAAGTAGGCACAAACACACACAATACCCATGCCATAGACACAGACACTAAACCAACAAGAATTATGGACATGATTGAATACAAATAAATAAAATATAGAATGTAGACATGCCTCATAAGAGCTAGGAATCAAGTGCAGGATTCTCATAAAAAATTATTTCACTTCGGGTTGAAAAAGTGCAAATGGGAGCAAGATACAATGCCAGGAATCACAGGAAGCAACCATTAATGCCCACAGTCAGTCACTCTTTCTACCCAAGGGAATAATAGTTTCTGCAGTGGAAGGCAGTCTGTCTATATTTTATTAAATCCCTTAAAAAAGGATTCTCAAATGGTTTATTAACAAATGGTCTTCCTCCAGGAGAGCAGAAAATCTTGTTAGAAAGAATCTGTCATCTTCCCATGCACTGAAGGATGTTTACTTTGATAGCTTTTTCCTTTATTTCCTTTCTGCTATTTAAATACACCTGTAAGCTATGATCCATAGAAACTATGAGCTCTGTAGTTAGATTTACCGTTCATCTTTGTCAGCATCCCCCTTTTTAGGCAGCTTTTGAAGAACTCCTGAAGTTTGGGAATGGGCAGAAACTGTTTTCTCAACATCTCTTGCCATTATGTCACACTCCCAGGCAAAATCCTCTACATCTTGTGTCCACAAAGGAAAAGCTTTGCCCCTTTCCATTTGCTGCTTCGTTTTATGCAGTGCCAAAAATTGCATTAGGGGTTTCCCATGTCATGAAGCAAGGCCAAAGATTTGCTTAATGTATTTTACCCTAAGGCAAGTTCATTGTAATTTCCAGCATCTAAATGAAGTTGAGAAGTTAACTTGCAGCAATCAAGTTGCTGGGGATGCACTTTTTCTACAGTATTCGTTATCTCCTACAAATACCTGAGATGAGGGAGGGTCTAACAGAAAACACTGTAGCATGACAAGTTACTTATTCTGGTTTACCGTTCCCTAGCTCTTGTCCTGTTACAAGCACCTCCTACTATATTTCTTTACATAGAATATTCCTTAAATATTTTAGCATGGATGTCTGTAATGAATGTATTGCACCTTGGTAGCACAGTAAAAAGGCATTACAGAAATAATCCCTCCACCAAGAAGTGCTTGGGGAAGCTATGGAACACTTAAAAATGTGAAAGGATGTTCAAGAGCAGTATGGGACAAAAAAAGAATGACCTGAGCAGCACCTGACAGCAGAGTAATATAACTCTGGCTTTTACTGGCTACTTTAACAATGATTAATTAATTAATAGTAACTATCAGTATTCCTGAGCACCTTCAAAATTTTATGCTGCCCTGTTACCCATACATACATATAATAACCAAAAAAACGTATTTCAAGGCGGGCAAAATTTATACAAGTATTTTGGAACCCTCTTAAAAGTCTGTTTTTATACACTAAAAAAACACGTCTCCAAAATGTGGTATTTTTTCATGTTGTTTCTATGTAATTTTTAAAAAATTATATGAAATTACACTTTTCATTGTTCAGATATAAAGGGTAGCTGGGGAGAGAAAGGAAACAGCCATTAGGTTTTTCTTAATAAAAATCACAGCCTTGGCACCACTGGTAGTGCAAAAAGTCAGCGATTCCCAAGGGACTAACATTGATCTAAAAGCCTTTTCCCATGCAGAGCTCTTCATGTGTTTGCTACCAGAATTTTCTTTTTGAATAAGCACTGCTTCAAATCAAAGTGTGTCTCCAGTGGGCTGGAAACGTGTTTGAAGGGTCAAATAGAAGTTCTACACACGGTCAGCATAAAACTTCAGAAATGGAAAACAGACATCTACAGCCAACCCAGAGGCTGAGCAACAGAACCGAACTCCACTAGACTGCATCTTGGTAGAACTAAGAGGGCGGTGCTACACCTGGGACTAAAAGGGCAGTCACTCGCAGAAAACAGGGCTATCATCCAATCCACCAACACGTAGAAGTGACACAGAAAGATATACAGCATACATACGTCATACGACTTACATACTCTTCTATCATCTTTTGAGTACAGTCCATCAATGCACATCCTACATACAGACATTAAAATTCTACATTTACACGAAATGAAGTGAGGAAAATATGTAGTGTCAGTTTTAGAAGCAGCTAAAAGCTCATAGTACAAACATTGTCCCTTTAATTTCAAGGCTGCTATGTGGCAGTGTGGATTTTTTAAAAAAATGTAATATGGACATATGCATCTTAAGATCATTTCCAGTTGTGGTTTGTAACATCTGAAATTTCTCAAGAAACACCAACAGGAAAAGACTGGCCTGGGCCATTCCCTGCTGAATACCTGATTAGAGAAAGTATTTCCAAAGGGAATCTAGACTAAACTAGAATACTACAAATGTGTAGACTAGGTACTACAGTCATAGAATAAAGGCACCCCCAAAAGCTCTAGCAGATGGAGAAGAATATACTTTTACATCTACAAAACTGAAATACATCATGTTATTTTTCCTAGTACACAGACTTGGGAAATTACAGCTTATCTCAAGATCACCAAATGATCTCTTTTTCTACATAACCTTGGAGCTGTCTTACAGATTTATTCTTTTTTAAATTTTGCAATACCAAAAGCATTTTAAGAAGCTGCAGATGTATCCAGCACATCCAGCTGTGCCTGTCTCCACATAAGGGATGACCAACTGTTTCAGCAACCGTAATTAGATTCAGAGAGAGACAAGAGAACCTGTCAAATTGAATTGTGCTCTTCTAGTCCTTTCACAATCTTACATTGTGAAAAAGACCATAAATTCCCCAGGCATGTAAAATCAACCACAAAGTAAGGAAAAAGTATCCAAAGGCAACTCCAACTGCCTAGAAATCTAGCTAGGATGAGGGAATCAAACTAAAATCTACGCATTTAAATTAAAAAAAAAAAATTTAAACTTTTTCTAACACATGGAACCCTGATTTTAAAACTAATGCTTCGTCCACTCTCAAGTCATACTTAAACTTATGAAAATGAAAGAGGTATCCCTGCATATTTTAAACATCCATTAACAGGGTCTTACACCTTTCCAAAGTATGCAACACTTACTGTCCTACCAGAATTGGAATTTCAATAACACCATAAAAGAGAAAAAAATACATCATAAAACAGACCATGGGAGATGCAAATCCGCAACTGAGGGATATTGTAAGTGATTCAGTAATCAAAAAAGTTAAGTAACCCAGAGACAGTACTCCAAACATCTACCAATAAAACTTAACAGTATAAAATATTTTTTGCTCTTTGTAATTTTTTTAAACTAAAAGTTCTTCTTCTATGATTAAGAATGTGCATAAATCAATTACAGCCTTTTAAAAGCATAAAATTTAAGAAATGCCTCAACAGCAGTGTGCCTAACATTTTAAATAGCTTTTCTTTAAATTTTATACTAGATGTAAATATAATTTATACCTTCTTCAGTAACAGAAAATATTAATCTCTGTATCTTTCCTCTACTTCCACCGATCTCATAAACTCTGGTTTGCT